CATAAATTAATTTAACTAGATAAAATATTTTAAGATTTCGAGTATCAAATTTTCCGACGCAATGTCTCAACGTAAACAAGCAGCGAAGAAAACAACATCAACGGTTGAATCATTATCCGTAAATTAATTTTTATTCAATTAAATCCAGCAAAATAAGATAAATACCGTACTATTTTAGGTTGATAAAACAACAACAAAACGAAAACGTAAGGAAGGCGAATCACAAAAAAAATCCAAACGAATTCGCATCGAAACGAATGAAGACGAAGTTCAGCATGAACCAATACTTTTGGATTTGTCCTTCGAATCAAATAATGGCAATACAATTAACGATGGCGATGTAGAAGTAGAAATTGATTACCAAACGATTACCACACAAGAAAGTGTTGTTGTGTCAGAAGAAAAAAAGAAGCGAAACAAATTCAATTGGCATATTTTATCTGAATACGATTGCCTTGACGAAGCGCTAGACTTTCTCGAGAAAGAAAATTTTGTATGCTACGATTTTTCTGACTTGAAAAGCGGCTTAAAATTTTACTTTAGATGTAAAAAAATTCCGAAAGAACGAAAAACTTGGTGTGCACAAAGATATACACTCTTTCTACCATCGAATAATACAAAAGCACAAATATTATTAAATCAATTTGAGCACGATCACGAAAAATTATTAGAAGGTTGTAAAAGACCACTATCGGATGAAATAAAGGAGTTCATCACTGATCTATTCAAATCAGGAACAACGAAAATCGCAGACGTTATACGACATATCGATTTTGCGCGTACAAAACATAATTTATTCAAGTCCGAAGATAACCCTGGAAAACGTCAAATAGAGTATATGCTGAAGAAATTTCGAGATGCTGAAGCTCCGGTGATGATCAACTTGGGTGATATGAATGAATGGTTGGATAAGCACCGAGAATTCCCGTCAGATGAAAACTGCGCTTTCGTTATTGGTGTCGAAACGTCATCTTTTGATGAAGAATTAGGTTTTCGTTTCGCATTCTCAACACCGTTGCTTCTTAAGTTGTTGATGTGTTGCAAAACTATCTGCATCGATGCCACCTATAAACTAAATTGGTTAGGATTTCCTTTGATGGTACTTGGAACTGTAGATCGAACCAAAAGGTTTCATCCTTTTGTGTATGCTTGTTGCTCTCATGAGAGGACATTGGACTATGCATTCATATTTAAATGTGTTAAAGAGGTTATCAAAAAACATTTTGATGAACAATTCGAACCCGAAACGTTAATCGCAGACGCAGCCGACGCTATTCGCAATGCATTTTACGAGTCATATGAAAGTGCACAGTTAGATATAATGTGCTACGCTCATGTTATACGGAACTGCATGAAGCGACCGTTTGCATCACAAGCCTACAAACAATTAATTCTTGATGATATTCGCAAAATGCAGTTAGCACCGAACAAAATAACGTTCAAAATGATGTCCAAACTGTTTTGCGATAAATGGCGTGTGGTCGAAAGTGACTTCGTTTATTATTTCGAACGCGAATGGCTTGGAACACACTGCAACTGGTTTGAAGGCGCTGCCGAGTACACGCCATCAACAAACAACGGACAAGAAAGCCATAATGCAACGATAAAAAAGAGATTTGAGATAAATATAAAAGCTTAGATACACTGAGATCAAAAATCCAAGATTTTGATCTCAAATCTGATCTAGATAAAAAAATTGATCTAAAAAAAACACTTAATATACTTATGACTAACTTAAGTTGACTTATTTGTTGCTTGTTCGTATTTTCAAAATGAAAATTCTTCATTTTTATCCGTAAAAAACTAAAAGATATAATTTGGTCCTAAATTGTGTGAAAACCCCTAACCTCAAAATAGTAAGAGGGTCATAAAATAGACGTACCTTGTTGTTTGTTCAAATTTCGATTGGTATTCTTCTCTTTCTATGTTCAAAATAACTTTTTTGTCGTAGATACTTTTGCATATGCTACAGCTTCGATTAACACAGCCAGAATGAGTTTTATGTCCTATGATACGGTTGTGCAAATGATTGAGCTGTCATTTGGTGTCATTTAATTCAAGTGTCTTGTCGAACTTTTGAGAAGATGGCGCTAAAATTTCATTTATCGTTCAATTATTTACGTTTAAATCATTTTTTTTACCAAACTTTCATCGACAAATTAATTTATTTATTTTATTCAGAAAGAATACTGGAAAGACGACACATATCTTCTGAATCAATCATTTGTGAATTTTTGACAGCAAGTTTGAATCATCAATGATCTAATGATCAGGCTTAAGCAAGCTATAAAAATGAGTATCTCATTAACTTCAGCTTTTTTAATTGAAATTCAATTATCCGTAGCAAAACTACCTGGAAAAATACCATGACTCGCATGTGATGTCTGAATTTCTGAATTGTAACGCATCAAAATGTGTTAACATGAAAAATTGAACGAACTCAGCCGTATAAATAGAATTGAAGACATCTGTTTTGGGTTGGGTGTGAGTTATTATAAAGACGACAGATCGTACAAAACATGAGCTGACTGGAGCACACCCAGAGCATATACTGAGCATAGATATATATCCGGGATATTTTGTGAGTATCCGATATTTATCGCAGCCAGACATTATAATGGAGTGAAAACAATAGAAGTGATTGTTATAGGTCTAAGTATAAAACCATTTACATTACTACAATCACTATAACAATAACTTCTATTGTTTTTACTCTATTTCAAAGTCTGGCTCCAATGAATATCGGATACTGACAAAATATCCAGTATATATATCTATGCTTAATATATGCTCTGAGCACACCTGTGTAAATATGACTCAAAATTCTTCTCTCCGGAATATGATCGTGTTTAATTTCAAAAGTGTATGACATGTTCCCGAAACAATACTTATATCATTTCAGTATGAATCGAACTTTATTCAGTGTCACTCCTCAGCCACCTCTACATAGTTGTATACTCACAACTTATTTTAGTCACAAACAGTTTGAATTCAGAATGATTCGATTTTTCATTTTAACATTACTTTTTTGTGGAGCGTTTTCAACACCCGGTATTCTGAGTGATTTGCGTAATGTTAGTTTGGCACTTAAAGTATTTCATAGAATGAACGAAAGTCTGAACGAAGTGATTGAACATTTGAAAGATTCGTTGGCCAACGGGAAAACCCAGTACAAAGATGAGGAAATGCTTCAACTCATCGAGTAAATTGCATTTTGATTTTTGTTCGTCTTCAATTTATTTATCAATTTTTCTTCTTTGGACATAGAAAAATTACTAGCACCATCGTTGAAGATTATTCTGATGGAAACGGAGAAGGTGATTCGTATCAAATTGGTGATGAAGCAAACCAACTCGACGAAAATGATTTTGACTGTAAAAACGATGACTATATACTCGAACGAGAGCTTTGAAAGTAGTTTACGTTTTACTCAAATTTGAATAGACCAATTTTAGTTTCTATGACGTAAGGTAACACTTGTACAAATACAACATTAAACAAGCAATCATTGGGTTTTTTGAAGGGCTCGCATGTTTCTGCATCGTTTTGAATAATTGCGTTTCAATCTATGGTTCACAATTTTACCCAAATAAAATGTTTCCAAGAAATAAAACGAAAGGCTTTCATTCTTCTTCTCCGATTAATATTTATTGAAATGTTCTGAAAGAGAAAACTGATACAAATTTCAAATGGAATGAATTCAAATTAGTTTTTTGACGTAGGTATCTATTGACTCAAGATTGAGTTGAATATGTGTTATGTATGTGGTTAAGGTTTCATGCGATGAACATTCTTTATGTGTTGATTGGCATCGCTTTTCCGTGTGAATCGGGCAGCGCATATTTTGCATGCAAATAGCTTCTCGCCGGTGTGAGGAGTTCGATGGTGTTCGTCAAAAAAAATTTCAATTTCTTGCGAAAATCCTCGGCGACACTTCAAACATTTGAACGGGAATTGATCTCGATGTGTACCCAAATGCATGGCCAGTTCAAATTTCTGAATGAAACGTTTTTCGCATATTCCACATTGGAATTGTTTTTCGCCAGTGTGCTTTGCTTGTACATGTCGCTTCAAATGGGATTTATAGAAGCTATTGTATGGACATATATAACATCCATATCGCCGACATTTGCATTTGATTTCATGCGATTGCTTTGCGCCATCGTTTTCAAATCGTCGCCCGCATTTTGAGCAATCAAATGGAAGTTCATCTCTGTGAATTCGCAAATGTCTGTTTAAAACATGCTTTAGCGCAAAAGATTTCAGACAAATTGGGCACTCGAATGGTTTTATGCCGCTATGAATACGCATGTGTCGCTTCAAAAGCGCTTTATTGCGTGTCATATAGCCACATAATTGGCATTCATATTGCCATCGATTGCACACATTTTCATGATGGATTTTATTGAGCTCTTGTGCAAAGCCCTCACCACACTTCAAACAATGAAATGGCAAATCACGACTGTGAATTATTATTTTATGTCGATTCAAATCACTTTTTCTCGAAAAATTCTTTGAACAAATATCGTATTGAAATGGTTTTTCACCAGTATGAGTGCGAATGTGTCTCATGAGAGTACTTGTGAACGATGCGGTGTAATTACAGAACGGACACTTGTGCGTTTTGGGTTAGTTTGGCGTTGGTTTCTTCAGTTCATTTCTTTTGCCTCTTTTGCTGGTAAATTTCGGTTTTCTTCCCTTTCTATTCGATACGGCTTTCTTGCCATAATGCCTTCCCCTTTTTGCCGCAGAAAATGCGTTTTCACCATCATTGGCATCTGATTGGTTTCTTTTACTTTTCCGCACACACCTAGTGTGTAAGGTAAAGTATTGGAATCGGTCGAAAAATTGGGTGTTTTAGAAGCCAGGGAACACGAATCTAGCGTTTTTTCGATGTCCGAATGTATGTGCGTGGTACGCTGTACGCTGTACGCTGTACGCTGTACGCAAAAATTTGTTAACACGATAACTTTCAAACAAGAAAAGTAATTCAAAAAAATTGAATTTATGTATGAAATCCATGTCTGTATGATATCGTAACTAGCTGAAACTTTGCAGAGGCTATTTTTATCACAAAAAAATACCATTCCGAGAGTTTGAAGACATTTCAACGCATATTAGGGGTACCTCCCGAACAAAATTTTGGATTTTTCGCTCAAAAACGAAATTTTGTATGGGAAGTACCCTTAATATGCATTGAAATTTCTTCAAACTTTCAGAATGTTAACTTTTTGTGAAAAAAATAACCTCTGCAAATTTTCACATGATTACGATATCATATAGGCATGGCTGCGATACAAAAATTCCCATTTTTTGTAGTTTTTGTATGAAAAGTGCTTCGAAAATTATTTGTATCGTAAAACTAATGTCAGATTCAGTTTTCTCGTGAATTCTTTGAGTAAAAGATTTGTAATAAATGCATGTTGTGGATCACGGTGCGGAAAAGTTCATCTTACGGATGTAAGACATTTTATTTGGACTTGCATCTGGCGACTCTTGATCTTCGCCCTTCACCCATTTCTTACATCCCTCCGTTTCCAATTTCACCGGCTCCAAATCGTATGAGATGCC